GGACACCTCTGAGCAAACCACAGGATTTCCGATAGGAAAAGTATGGAGTTCGAAGCGCACGAACGGATATCACTTTGCCATTCGGCTTTTCGGATGTCTTCTAAGTCTACTCAAACTTTGCAGAAACTCTATCCATTTGGAGCTCAGCCGGTGAGGCCGAATTCACCAACTGTCCAGCGTCTGCGTCGCTTATTCTGTACACGTCGTAAGGGAAAGAGGGGAAGAGTTACATAACAGGCCCGGGTGTCCCCCAAGAGGCCCACCGCGCGGCGAAGGAAGAGACGCAGATGCGGCAAAGGACGAGTCGCAGCGCGTGCTGCGATATGAGACGTAGTATGGTACACTCTATTTAACCTGACGCCTAACCGCTACAGTATGCGCTGCGACTCGTCCTTTGCCGCGTCTGCGTCTCTTCCTTCGCCGCGCGGTGGGCCTCTTGGGGGACACCCAACAGGCCCTTGTTGACCGGTCAAAAAGTGTAGCGCTCCTACGGCGTGACGGACGCTTTGCGCACGCAAACCTCAAATTAACGCCCTCACCAAGCATCCTAAATTAATTGGCATGATTTTTTACGCTCTTTCAAGACTCTGTGCCGTATGAAACCTGGCACTTGTCAGTTAAGTGAAGAATAGACGTTAGAAAAAGAGATGTTCTCGAGGTGATGCGATGCCAAATTTAAAAAAAAACTAACGCGTTAGGATGATTCTGGAAAATTGCGACCACTCGATTGGCTATATCGTTAAGCTTCACCACGTTCACTTCATTACGAATCACTTGTCTACTGAGTTGAGCGATCATTTGATCCAAAAACACTGAATAAAGAATCAGAAAATGTGAAGTAACCCACATCTGCACTATGGAGTAAGAAAGAAACAACAGAAAGGCTATGCCCACTCACGAGACTTTTGCTGATTTTTCAGACAGTCCGCTATTCTATTTGTGTCTTCTAAGAGAGCAACGGCAGTGTAGTAGTGTTGATGGCTAATATGGCGCTCGACTTCTCGAATCAAAAGACGAAAAAACCCAGCCTCATGGTTGGTGTGATCCAGCATCTGAAACTTGCATGTATTTCAGTTCTAAAGCAGTCTAAAACGGAGTAGATCGGAATTACGGTATTTTCTCAACACGCCAAATCGGCCTCTATCGTGCAGACATCTTTACATTTATGGATCGTAGAATTTGCTATGGCGATAACTTGTTTCTCAAAATTATCACACTGCCTGGTCAGCATATGTGGGATGGGCTCAGTGGTGAGATCGACAAGCGAACCTCGTTTATTCGGCGGATCTGAACTATTATGACACAGACTGATTACCGGAGACGTGCATGGAGCGGCTGTAAGGTGGGACTGTATCCTGCGGCAGTTCTGGACGAAAGGCGTGCGAAGGACTCTGGTTCTGGCTCGGTACAATGGTAGCACTGCTACTACCAGCTCAGGTTCAGAAGAGGTCCCGCTCCTT